GATTAGCCGGGTGTGGGGAGGTACTCTGGGGGCGGTGCTTCCCAAGTCCTGCTATGGCGGAGGCCTTCGGCCGCCTAAGCCTTCTCTTGCGGGCAATTTCTGCCAGTCCCTGGCCCCGGTGTCCTTTCTCTGGCTGGGCGAGCGCCTACTGGGGCGGGGCGGAGGAGGTGGGGTGGGGAAGAGGAGTCAGGAAGAACTGGGCCCCGACGAGGGTTACCCCGGCCTTAGCCTCATTTGAGCACTTTTGGAAGGGATTAGAGTAGGCCTTAGAGCAGCTTGGTGTACAGTTGCCCCAAGTGGGCACCAGTTAATAAAGAAATGGATCTTGGCAGTCTCAAGTGCCTACTTAAAGGGTGGGGGAAGGGAACTATTTCTCGGAAGAGGTGCTGATGGGCCTTTTCAGATGGTGAGGCTTCTGCTTACATCTTTTTTACATTTTTGCTGTTTGGGACCTAACTGCTACTTTCTCTAGTCGTAGCATATGACTTGCTTGAAGCTGTTGGAATAGTTACTGCATATTGCATACCCATCCTTGTAGCTAAAACGGCAACAAAACGCAGTGTTGTCTAATATTGGACAAGACTCTATTGTGAGTTAGAAAGAAGAGACTTTCTGCTTGTGAACTCCTTTCTCTGATATTTTCTGTTTTGTGGTAAGTTAGGCTTGGTGTAAGTTGATAACCACATCTCAGTGAACCATATGCGTCAGATTTTGCATTTTTGAGCTTTAGAAAATCAAAAATCTTCATTTGTTTGGGGGAAAAAACCTCACTTGTCCTGAGGAATCAGGGATATGGCCGAAGAATAAAAATGAAGCTTGATTTAGTGCAACTTTTAGAAAACCTGGAAGGAAACATATATGAGCAGCAAGTTACTTACTATTGCCTCTTGCTTGTCAGTCATCATTTCTTTTTTAACATAAATTGGTTGGCTAAATATTCATTGACAAATTAGAAGTATGTCACTGTCAACTCGTTGACTTTCTATTATTAACAGATTTTTATAGTATTATAAGTAACAGTTTTAAAAATTGAATCATCTATTCAGGCACTGTTTGAATACAGCGTTTTGCATAATAGAAAAATGTCTGATACCTAGTGCCATTACTAAATAGTGGAAGTCTTAAATTTTTAATATAGAGAACGCAGTCTTAAGAAGGAAGTTGAGGATTGTAGAAGATAATTTTTTTTTTGTTTGAAACAGAGTCTCGCTGTGTCTCCCAGGCTGGAGTTCAATGGTGCAGTCTCAGCTCACTGCAACCTCCGCCTGCCGGATTCATGCAGTTCTCCTGCCTCAGCTTCCCCGGTAGCTGGTACTACAGGCGTGCGCCACCATGCTCAGCTAATTTTTTGTATTTTTAGTAGAGACGGGTTTCACCATGCTGGCCAGGCTGGTCTCGAACTCCTGACCTCGTGATCCGCCCGCCTCGTCCTCGCAAAGTGCTGAATTACAGGCGTCAGCCACCGCGCCGGGCCTGTAGAAGATGCACGTGTAAGACAAATCTGATTAGGTAAGAAAAAATAAAAAGACAAAACAAGCCTGCCACCCAGAGACCTACACCAAAATATCAACTGTAGTTATTGTTCTAGACCTTTGGATAGCTACTAATATGGTTCCACATTAATAACAGTGGAACCGTACTGTATGTTCTGTGTTTTCAGTGGAAAAACATTATTACAAAAATCCTCTGAACAACCTTCTGTCAAGTAAGTTTTTCGAGAACTTACATGATTATCGATCCAAACTGATTTATTTAATCAGTCTGTGATTTGCCTTCCTTTTTATTTTCTAGTTTCTGGCTTTTATAAACATCGTTTAAAATATTATTATAGGTCAGTCTTTCAGTGTTCTTACTTTCTTGGGATAAAGTGAATTGCTGAGTCAAAAGAATTTGCTCATTTTCAATGTGTTTGATACATACTACCACATTGCTTTCGGAAAAGTTATGCTAGTTTTCCCAACCAGTGTTTGATGGGCAAAAAAAACCTGGTGAAATTGAACTTTCGTTTATTGGGCTTGGTATTTCTTTTTTAAATTGCCCCTCGCTTTTTGCTCATTTTACCCTCTCTTGCCCATTGCCCCTCTTTGGGATATTTATCTCTTACTGGTTTGTAAGACTTCTTTCTATTAACAGAGGTTGGAAATAGCAGTTATCTAGGTTTTTAATGTTGGTTTGATAAACACTGAATTTTACTTAGTTTGCATTAGAGAGCTTACTGTTAATTCTTAAAAATTTAAATTCCCTGTTTCCAATTCTAATTTTCAGTATGAATCAGGTAAGATACATTGGCAGGTGAAAAAGTTTGAAATGTAAAAAGATCACCAAATTAATTTAGTGTTTCCTTGGGAATTTGATTACTTTTTCTGGGAGAGGAGTTCTGGGCAACAGCATAAATACTGTTATTTGTGGATATCTACAGGTTAGGTTTGGTCTTCAAATAAGTCAACTTTATTTTTCTTTCAGAAAACTCTTGGTTTTCTGGCTTTCTATACTTTCCCGGTTAACATTTAAATAAAAGACCAAATATATTTAATTTGGTCTTTTATTTAAATCCTTTGTGGCTACCTAGCTTGCCTTTTCAGCTTTTAAGGAAAAAAAAAAAATCTGAGTTTTTTGTTTTGTTTTGTTTTGTTTGGAGACAGTCTTGCTCTGTCACCCAGGCTGGAGTGCAGTGGCCTGATCTCAGCTTACTGCAACCTCCACTTCTCAGGTTCAAGAGATTACCCTTGCCTCAGTCTTCCCCGCCCCAGCCGCCTCCCACCCTGGTATCTGGGATTACAGGCACCTGCCGCCAGGCCCAGCTGATTTTTGTGTTACGAGGTTTCGCCATGTTGGTCATGCTGGTCCCGAACTCCTGGCCTCAAGTGATCTGTCCTTCTTGGCCTCCCTAAGTGCTGGGATTACAGGTGTGAGCCACCATGCCTGGCCAGGGTTTTTTTTTTTTTTTTTGAGACAGAGTTTCACTTTGCTGCCCAGGCTGGAGTGCAGTGGCGTGATCTTGGCTCACTACAACCTCTGCCTCCTGAGTTCAAGCAATCCTCCTGCCTCAGCCTCCCAAGTAGCTGGGATTACAGGTGTGCACCACCACACCCAGCTAATTTTTGTATTTTTTAGTAGAGAGGGGGTTTCACCACGTTGCCCAGGCCGATCTTGAACTCCTGACTCCAGGTTATCCACACAACTCGGCCTCCCAAAGTGCTGAGATTACAGTCATGAGCCACCGTGCCCAGCCTAAAAAGTGGTTTTCTAATGTAACTGCATAAGTAGCTAGGTAAATTATTAAATGAACCCTGTTCAATTCTGCAGTTGGGAGTATTTAAACTTGCCATTTTGTATTTCCACAACAGTGTCCAGCAGATGTTGATTGTGCTTTCTAAGTATGCCAGGCACTATGTTAAGCAGAGGATATGCTTCTTGCCTAAGGAGCATATAGGGATAGGAAATATGGAGGTCCTTGGACTCCACTTCCAGAGATTCCTACTCATAAACGAAGTCTGGGGTGGAACGTGAGCGTCTCTGTATTTTAGACTTCTAGTGATAGTTAATCCACTGTCACGATTTTGACTCAGGCAGAGTGAGTGAGAAGAGCAGCAGCTCTTAGGAGCACAGATTGGGTATACCTAATCAAAATATCCGAAATGCTCTGAAATCACTTTGTTTTGTTGCCTAGGCTGAAGTGCAATGGCAAGATCATAGCTCACTGCAACCTCCAACTCCTGAGCTAAAGTGGTTTCTCCTGCCTCAGGCTCCTGAGTAGCTAGGACTATAGGTGTGTGGCACCACACCTGGCTAATTTTTTTTCTTTTTTGTAGAGACACAGGGTCTTGTTTTGTTGCCCAGGCCAGTCTCAAACTCCTGGCCTCAAGCGCTCCTCGAACCTCAGCCTCTCTAAG